ATAAAAATGTGTATTTGCGCTTCCGGACAAATCAGGTGGACCGAAAGTTATTAAGTGAATATATTTTTATTCTTGTAGGAAGCGCAATTAATAGGCCAAACAGAAAACAAGAGTGTGTATCTTTCAGCAAGAGAAATTCATCGAAAATTCTACTTTGGAACAAAGTTTGAAATACGTTAGGTTAGGTTAGGTCCAAAGTGAGTGAGTCTATTCGACCCTCCACCGCAACCCGCAAAGATTTATTGTGGCTCTTACCTATTCACACTCGACCAAATAAACTCAGCTTCTTAACGAAGCCGATTAGTTTGTATGGTGAGTGCTGCTGTTTCATCATTTTCCAAACAGAGGGGGCCCACACTGTCTTCCGACAGTCCGAGTCTCTGCCTATGATGATCCAAATGGCAGTGACCTGTAAGAAGGCCTGTTAGACATCATAGTCCAACTATAGTCCAACAATTGTTTGGTATCAAGCTTCGAAGGGTGAATAAACGCTTTGGAGTAAGACAATCCTGGAAGTCTCTGCCAGAAGTCCATAAATCTTCTTGCAATCCAGGTGTTCAATCTTTGTTTGGCAAAGACTAAAGCGATGCCAATGGCAGGTTCTGATCCGATTAGGCTGCTTGCAGCACCATCCTTTACAAAGGAGTCAGCAGCCTCATTGCCTTACAGACCAGTATGGCCAGGAATCCAGACCGACTACAATCTATTAAGTCTTCCTATCTAGGAGATAAGGTAGCAATTTGCTACCAATTTAGACGTCGCTCGGTAGGAGCCAAGAACTTCCAACGCCGCTTGACCGTCCAAGAATATTTTATTGACTTGTGTATGAGGTTGAATTCTTCCAATTCTCCTCACAAAATTTCCGCTTGAAATAAAGTCGCATAGGTTCCTAGGCACTTGATATCTCTGTGCTGGGTCTGCGCCTGAAAACGCCTGCACCAGAACTGCAAGGTGCACATAAATCACATAAATCCAATGGGTTTCTTGGGACCCAAACCACAAGTTTCGCCACAAATCCTTCGACATGTCAATAGAGACAGTTTGGCTTTATGTAAAACTTTTTTCAAGTGAGCGTTCCAGGTTAGTTTTTTATCAAGGACAATGTCAAGATATTTCACATCCGTTCCAAATGAAATGTCCTCACCATTGAGGGAAAGTGGCATTAGATCATCCAATTTTCTTCTCCTGGTGAAGGGAATTATCGCAGTTTTGCTTGGTGTGAGAGACATCTGCTGTGACAGACGCTGTGAACAACGTCCCTCGTGCTTTGGAGGATATAACAAGCTACCCTTCACGACGTGGACCTTGCCAAGATGACAAGCTCATCTGCATAAGCTTGTAGATCTACTTTTCATCTTTCGAGGGCATCAAACATCATCAACAAGGCATCATCCATGGGGTACTATCTCCACAGAGAAGGAGATAGTACCCCACCTTGAGAGCAGCCTCTGGTATCGTGAACCTAATGGCCTCGCCTTGAAAAGTCGTGGTTGTAGTTATTTTTATCAGCCAGTTATGGTCGATTCGATACCTTTCCTAGCCAGAAATGATCTAAATAGTTGCTAGTTAGTTGCCAAAACAACGATTTTGTAGCCCTATCAGGCTAGCATGGCGAATCCATCAAAAATGCAAAAAATATATCAATTTGTAGCTAAATAGTTGCTAATTAGTTGCCAAAACAACGATTTTGTAGCCCTATCAGGCTAGCGTGGCGAATTCAGCAAAAATGCAAAAAAAAATATCAATTTGTAGCTAAATAGTTGCTAGTTAGTTGCCAAAACAACGGTTTTGTAGCCCTATCAGGCTAGCATGGCGAATCCAGCAAAAATGCAAAAAATACATCCATTTGTAGCTAAATAGTTGCTAAATAGTTGCCAAAACAACGATTTTGTTGCTTGTGCCGGTCACTAGAAATCGCTAATAATGCTATCGTGATATAAAGGTAGCGAAGTAACTCAATAAATTATATACTTTCCCTTTGATCTTTACAAAAGATTTAGTTGCTATTTAGTTGCTAAACCTTGGATATAGCGAAACATTTTCAACTTTTTTTTTTAATTTTTATGATCTTGCTATCTTGAAACTGGTTTCTCCTGGAATTAAGAGTGTTTCAAATTTGTTGCTCACCAGGGGTATACTCAAATACACGTTGAGTATTAGCAACAAAATAGTTGAAACCGATCGGCCGATTTTAAAATTTGTTTTTTCTTTTTACTCAATCTTGCTATCTTGATACTCGTTTTCCTGAGAATAAAAAGCGTTTCAAATTTGTTGCTCATCAGGAGGGTACAGCAACAAAATAGTTGGCCTTGACCGGCCAATTTTTTTATATTTTTTAAATTCTCCCTGTTCTTGCTATCTTGAAACCGATATTTTCTGGAATACNGTCTGGAGAGGTTTCTTAGTAAAAATAGATTTCTCATTAGCTTTTTTGATAGTTCATTTATATGATGATCCCATTTTAACTCACTGTCAAAATGAATTCCCAAAAATTTCACACTACTTTGCGAATTTGAGTAATTTTCCGTATTTCTTAGGGTGAATACCATGTTTTGGGTTTTGTTTTTATTCAGATATAATTCGTTTGCATTGAACCACCTTTCAGTTTGTGACAGTGCCTCATCTAGAGTTTTAGCATTTGTTTGGATTGTAGTATCGTCTGCATATAAAATATATGATAACGGGTTTTCCCAATATGGTATGTCATTAATGAAAATTATAAATAGTAGAGGTCCCAAAATAGATCCTTGCGGTACATATAGTGTTGCCAGAAAAATTATATAGTTTTAATTTATTCAAGAGAATTTCATGTGGATACACAATCAAATGCTTTGCTTAGATCACAAAAAGTTATTTCTGAATACTCTAGTTTTTCAAAAGTTGTTGTTATTTTGTTGTTAAGATCTAGTATCGCCATTTCAGTGTTTCTACCTTTTCGGAATCCATACTGGCAGTCTGTGAATATGTCACAATTCTCAAAATGTAGAGCTATACATTTTTCAAATATTTTTGATATAATTGGTAGCAGAGATATTGGTCTGTAGTTTGTAGGATCATTTGGATTTCCACTTTTGAAGATAGGTATTACTAATGTTTCTTTCAAGACGGAGGGGAAAATGCACTCTTTTGTACACTGGTTCAGCAGTTTAGTTAGAGGGATTAGAATTAAATTTGATATGCATTTGATCACTTCAACATTCAGTCCATATACCGGGTGTCCCACATTTTATGTGACAGGCAATATCTGGTTTGTTGAAGGAGATACACAAAAATGTTTCATACAAAAGTTTTAGGAGTTCATGAGAGCTATATTTTGATATAATTTTTAAATATTCAGGGTGTTTGGTGTAGGTGCTACAGACCAAAATTCCAT